ACTGCAATGCTTAAAGAACTAAAAAAAAGCCGGGTCTAATTTTTGGAGTTTTTTCCCTTTGTTCTTTTATTTTAAATTTTCCCCTTTCCAAAACCCTTCTCGGGGAGCATCCCCGGGTTTTAACTTTTCTTTTTTTTTTTTAAAGGGTATCTACCTCAAATTTCAAATATTATTCTTATATCAATTACTTTTTTATGTGAAAATTTTTCATACTTTAAAAGAAATATTTCAATTTTCTTTTTTGAACTTAGGTTTTCTTTAGGAAATTGTAATTTTATTTTTTAAAGGTTTACTTCAAATTCAAATATATATTTCTTATCATTACAAAAATGTTGTGTGAAAAGGTCCAAAAACTTAGCATGACATTTCTAAAATTATTCCCCTTGATTTTTGGAAATTTTTAACAAATGTTTTTTTTTTTTACTATAATTTAATACATAATTATCAAAAATTTTGATTTTTTTTTTCATATTTTGTTCCCCTTCCCCGGCGCCCCGTATTTTATTGTCGGTTTTCGCGTCCCCTGTGACAGCTTTGTAATCTTGTTCTATTGACCCTTTAAATGCATGTATTCATGTAACTCTATTTTTATATTTATCAATAAAATTTTTCAGTGAAAACATCTTTTCTGTTGTTACCAATTAAATACTTTATTGTAACTCATGTTCTATTTGTTACCCAATTAGATAATTCTGTGTAACTCTCATTCTATATGTTATACAATTAAGTTTTCCAGTGTAACTCTCATTCTATATGTTACACAATTAAGTTTTCCAGTCTAACTTATGTTTTCTACATGTTACACAATTAAATTATTCAGTGTAACTCATGTTCTTTATGTTACACATTTAAATGATTCAGTGTTACACTTGTTCTATAATCTTGAAATACATTTTTTATAAAAAAAAAAAAAACATTAAAAGTCTTTTTTATATGTTTAACAGTGCAAATTTTGCTATTTTAGTGTAACATGTGTTCAATATGTTACCTATTTATTTCAGTGTCACACAAGCTCTTTATATTGCACATATATTTCAGTATATCTGTATGGTGAAGCAGCAACACAGGAACACAGAAAAACTTTACCTCAGATACGAGCAGGGGAATATGAAGCCCTGCCAGAAAAGGTAATTTGTTGCATTGAAATTAATTGTAACTGTTCTATTTGTGGTTTAGGTATCGGCCCGGGAATTATCGGGCAGAGCCATGTCTCTTCATATGTTTCAAGTACTAGTCTAAAGGTTATATAACTTTTTTTGAGATACATCTAAAATCTCGGAATTTTCATTGGTCAATCTACACTCTCTTCCAGTTTTTGATCAAATATCTGAGATTTTATTTAGAGCGTAGAGAATTTCTTTACATTTAAACTTGTATCCTTGAAGCGAACACTTAATAAAGTGGTTAAAATAAATAAAGATGTGTAAATTAGATTAATTGGGATGTGAAAGGGAATCAAATGAAAGAGGGCATGCTATGAATGACAGGTTACATAAAATATTCGACATTAACAGTAAACTAGTGGATGTAATAACTACTCTATGTCACAAGTTTAGAGTCTGACCCATCTGCTTAACTGTACAGCCTGATCCAGACTCTTCACTGTTTGAAGCTCAGGTTTCATATTTTGATATGTATGTTCCTTAATGTAGGAAAAATCCATTTGAAGGGTGCTTATTTTTTAACTATTGGGTTCACTCAATGTGGTTGATATTGAACTCTGATAATGTGTCTGCAAATATGTCACCTTTTTTATACACAGTATAGATGAGAGTATGTTTGTGTATGCATGCATGTGTGTTTATGATTGTACTGAAGTCAAATGCTTTGGGTGATGTAAACTACATATTTAACTACTTAAAAAGTATTTACTAAATATATCAAAATGGTAATTGTTTTTCAGCTTACAAAGGATGAATGGAAACCAGATTTTGGACCAGCCGAGTTTGTCCCGTCATGGGGAGCAACTGCTGTTGGGGCTCGCAAGTTTCTTATAGCCTACAATATTAACATGCTGAGTACAAAAGAACAGGCTCACAGGATAGCTCTCAATATACGTGAACAGGGTCGCAGCAAAGACGAGGTATGTTTAGGAAATACACGTCAGTTTGGAAGTCATAATTGTAGATAATTGCACAGTTCGAGTACAAATGCTTAGTAATATAATCATTTGTAATTAATTTGAAAGAATTTGAAGGATGAACCATGCATTATAGTACTTCAAAAGAAAAATTGATGTTATCTTCTTCATCCTAAAATGCTAATAGAAAGAGAAATGATAAAAAATATGTAGGACCTCTTAATGCTACAGGTTTTGATCCTGTTGCAAACTTTGGATTCAGCTCAGGTCAGTGTTTCTACTTGCTTGTGCATTAAATCGTGCAATATATTTATTGATAAATTAACCATTTCATTCTTCTAAAGATTATTTATTACTTACCATTATATCTATTTCTGAAGCTAATTAGAAGCATGAGTAGTTGAATTATTAGTCCCCTACCAGTTTACCGGAGGGGACTTTAGGTTTACCGTCCGTCTGTCTGTCTGTCTGTCCGTCAGTCTGTCCGTCCGTCAGTCTGTCCGTCCACAAAACTGGATCCCGCAATAACGCAAAAAGTACTGAAAATATTTTAATGAAACTTAATATATGGATAGATGGCAGTATGGAGATTATGCACGTCTTTTTCTTTTCTTCCTATGTTGAAAATTCTGGTTGCTATGGCAACAAATAGACTGAAAATATGGCAAATTTTACACATAACCTGGATCCCGCGATAACGCAAAAAGTACTGAAGATATTTTTATGAAACTTGATATATGGATAGATGGCAGTATGGAGATTGTGCACGTCTTTTTTTTTCTTCCTATGTTGAAAATTCTGGTTGCTATGGCAACAAATAGACTGAAAATATGGCAAATTTTACACATAACCTGGATCCAGTGATAACACAAAAAGTACTGAAAATATGTTATGAAACTTGACATATGGGTAGATGGCAGTATGGAAATTATGCACATCCTTTCTTATCTTCCTATGTTGAAAATTCTGGTTGCTATGGCAACAAATAGACTGAATTTCAAGATTTCTGATTCTAGTTATAAGTTTTTTCACTATAAGTTCTTTATTTCTTAAGGTATTTTCTTCAAACTTTAAATATAAGTTGCTTGTCATCAACCACATCATATGTGACAAGGTTTACAACTCTAGCACAAAATTCAGAATTACCTCCCTTGAACTTAAAATTTTCATGAAAAAAACATTGTTTTTTTTTTTTTAATAACTTCTTTTTCTGAATGTATCTACTTCAAACTTCATATAAATGTTTCTTATTATCACACAACATTTGTGAGTGTTCAATACTCTAGCAAGACTATTTCCAGAATTATGCCCCTTTTGAACTTAGACTTTTTTTTTGAGAAATTGGTAATTTTTACTCCAACTTCTTCAATCATGATAGGATTTTAAAAATGTTATATTTTGATAACAGGGATGTTTAAAAAATAACTTTAGAGTGTCCTTCAGTCCGGCTGTCTGTACATAAAAACTGTTTCCTGTGATCACTTTTAAAGAACTTTTTCAACAAATTTACTTAAAATAGGAACCTAAGTGAATGGCCAATGGCCCTTCAGAATGTTGCTTGGGCTCTTACCGGTAGGGGTCTTATGGATTGCTTGCAATACTATGATAATTGCTTGTTATTATTGTTAAGAATATTTTTTTTTGCATCATACATTTAACAGCCAGGTAGATTGAAGGAAGTTCAGGCAATAGGTTGGTACTTGGAGGAGGCTAACATGGCCCAGGTGTCTGTCAACATCACTGACTTTGAGCAGACGGCAATTCATACAGTGTATGAGGAAGTCTGTAAAGATGCTGAGGTAAGTCATCTTCATATATAAATACATATAAACTCCAATATGCTCCTAAAAGACAATCTCTCAATGAATGCAAGAATATATTTCTTTTCTGTTTGGATCAGAAATAGTACAAAATTGCTTTTATAACGAAACATTACTTGCTTTCAATGGTAACAAATAATTGTATATTTCTGTATACATGCATATGACATAATGATTTTATCAGCTGTATGTAAAACCCTGTAGTGATGGCACTTTAAAAAAGGCTTGTCATGTGATACTTCAAAAGAAGGAAAATGATCATTCAGATCAGATTTCTGTAATAATTAACATATTTAACTAGTTATTCTTAGTTAATGTTTAGATATAATGGTCAAGGTCTTTTTGAATAATATTTTTATCAAAGTATTTTGAAGTATTAGTACTTTAAACATGTGAATGGATCATATTTTTTAAAATAAATGTACGCTAAGAAAGAACTAAACATAGCTATATTTGGAGTATTATTTTCCCACAGGAGTTGAACATTGCTGTGGTTGGTTCCCAGGTAGTAGGACTGGTTCCCCTTGAAGCAATAATGGCATGTGCACAACATTACATGGAGAAAAGTAACTTGTTTATTCTAGAGGAGGACCAGAAGCTAAGACTAGTAAGTTGTTCTAGGTTGCTCACCAGTATTTATTATTGAGTTTTATCATGACCCGGGGTGTCCGTGGCCAAGTGGTTAAGCGTTGACTTCAAACCACTTGCCCCTCACCGCTGTGGGTTCGAATCCCGACAGGGACTTTGGATTCTTTCATGTGAGGAAGCTATCCAGCTAGCTTATGGAACGTCGGTGGTTCTACTCAGGTGCCCGTTTGTGCCTGAAATAATGCAGGGAAGGGCACCTGAGGTCTTCCTCCACCAGTAAAGCTGGAATGTCGCGATATGACCTATACTGTGTCGATGTGACGTAAAACCTAAAACAAACAAATTATCATGACCCATTTTAGGAACTTTTTTTCATTGAAATATTTATGCCTTATGCAAAACATTGGTCTGTTATATGAGAGCTTTAAATTATCAAAAGGAGGTCAAAATATGTAACAATAGCCTTTATAGCCTTTATCACGGTAGAAATATGGTGATTAATACTGCAAAATCAGTCGTTAATCACACATGACATGTAAATTATTATTTTACCTTTCTTAAAATCTTAGCACATTTTTCATAAGTTTGATGTTCTTGAAATATGTTTGCCGTTTGGAGGCATGCAGCTTTAACACCATTTTAGCATTAAATGTTTTTCAACTTTTGCTTTGAACTATCTTTTTGTTCAGCTTTCTGTTTATGCTAATAGCACAACTTTCCAATTCTAACAATTCTAATAATAGCAATGATTGTTCTTTTTTAAGTCAGAAATATCTTAATATTTTTTAGCTCACCTTGCACAAAGTGCAGGTGAGCTTTTAGGATGGCCAACCAAATGGCGTCCGTCGTCTGTCGTCCGTCCACATTTTAAATATTCTAAGGACATCTTCTATGATACCGCAAGGCCAATGTTAATGAAACTTGGCAGGAATACTCTTTGTATGAAGCTCTATCAAGATTGTTCAAAGAATTCCATTTCATGCAAAACTCTGGTTGCCATGGCAACCGAAAGAAAAATCTTTAAATATCTTCTTTTAAAGAACCGTAAGAGCTAGAGCTTAGATATTTGGCATGAAACATCTTCTAATGAGTGTCTACCAAGTTTGTTCAAATAAAAGCCCTAGGGTCAAAATTGGCCCCGCCCCAGGGGGTCATTGATTTTCCCTATATGCATAGTAAAAACTTAAAAATCTTCTTTTAAAGAACCCAAAGAGCTAGAGCTAAGATATTTGGCATGAAACATCTTCTAGTGAGTGTCTACCAAGTTTGTTCAAATAAAAGCCCTGGGGTCAAAATTGGCCCCGGCCCGGGGGGTCATTGATTTTCCCTATATGCATATAGTAAAAACTTAAAAAATCTTCTTTTAAAGAACTGTAAAAGCTAGAGCTTAGATATTTGGCATGAAACATCTTCTAGTGAATGTCTACCAAGTTTGTTCAAATAAAAGCCCTGGGGTCAAAATTGGTCCCGCCCCAGGGGGTCATTGATTTTCCCTATATGCATATAGTAAAAACTTAAAAAATCTTCTTTTAAAGAACCCAAAGAGCTAGAGCTAAGATATTTAGCATGAAACATCTTCTAATGAGTGTCTACCAAGTTTGTTCAAATAAAAGCCCTGGGGTCAAAATTGGCCCTGCCCCATGGGGTCATAGATTTTCCCTATATTCATATAGTAAAAACTTAAAAAATCTTCTTTTAAAGAACCCAAAGAGCTAGAGCTAAGATATTTGACATGAAATATCTTCTAGTGAGTGTCTACCAAGTTTGTTCAAATAAAAGCCCTGGGGTCAAAATTGGCCCCGCCCCGGGGGTCATTGATTTTCCCTATATGCATATAGTAAAAACTTAAAAAATCTTCTTTTAAAGAACCGTAAGAGCTAGAGCTTAGATATTTGGCATGAAACATCTTCTAGCGAATGTCTACCAAGTTTGTTCAAATAAAAGCCCTGGGGTCAAAAATTGGCCCTGTCCCAGGGGGTCATAGATTTTCCCTATATGCACATAGTAAAAACTTAAAAAATCTTCTTTTAAAGAACCCACAGAGCTAGAGCTAAGATATTTAGCATGAAACATCTTCTAATGAGTGTCTACCAAGTTTGTTCAAATAAAAGCCCTGGGGTCAAAATTGGCCCCGCCCCAGGGGGTCATTGATTTTCCCTATATGCATATAGTAAAAACTTAAAAATCTTCTTTTAAAGAACTCAAAGAGCTAGAGCTAAGATATTTAGCATGAAACATGTTCTAATAGGTGTCTACCAAGTATGTTCAAATAAAAGCCCTGGGGTCAAAACTGGCCCTGCCCCGGGGGTCATTGATTTTCCTTATATGTGTATAGCAAAAACTTAAAAATCTTCTTTGAAAAAACCCAAATAGCTTGAGTTTAGATATTATACATGAAACATCTTTAAGTAAATATCTACAAAGTTTGTTCAAATAAAAGCCCGGGGGTCAAAACTGGCCCTGCCCCAGGTGTGTCATTGTTTTTAATTATATGTGTATATGTGTAAAATCTTCTTGAAAAAAACCCAATGAGCTAGAACTTAGATGTTTAGCATGAAACATCTTCTTATGGGTGTCTACCAAGTCTGTTCAAATAAAAGCCCTTGGGTAAAAATTGACCCGGGGGTGGGGGGGCTATATACATGTGAGCGACCTCAGGGCCATCATGGCCCTCTTGTTTAAAACATTTTTTGTAATTCTGTAACTTTTTTATGATTCTATCTTTTTTTTAAACTAACATATGCCTCATGTATTTTCAGGTTATTAATAAATTAGGCCTCAATTCACTTGGTCCATTTAGTCCTAAAGAAAGAATTATAGAGTAAGTACATAGGAAACATATATATGGAATTCAGCTTTGGTTAATGACACTTTGTAATGTACTTACATATTATTATTTATAATACAGCATGTTTGTAATGTTGTTTTTCATTGGATAATCGTGACATTTATATAGTTTTATATACACAGCTGCTGTCAATATATGAAAAAATCACAATTGTCCAATGAAATTTGATGTTACAAACATGCTGTATTATGAAGATGTTATGTTTGTTTGAATCTGGTTGGACTTCATGGTTGTGCACACTGGCCTATTTGAAATCCTTGGGAAATTGAAAAATTATTTTTCATCTTGCATGTAAATAGCAAGTCATGCAGTTATATCTATACTGTAGTTTAGTATTTATTGATTAGAGTATAAAAGCAATTTGTGGTCCCTGACAAGATTTCAATGAATATTTGTTTCACTAGTGAATCAGATAAAAGCTTACTATTATTGTAATAAACAAAATCTAGGAACAAACAAATCAGTTGAGTAATTGCTACCATAAGCTCTCTTATCTACTAAAACATTCTGCTTTTTCATATTTTAAAAGCTTTTGCAACTTTAAAAGAGCTCTGCTGAGGTCCCAAACCCTAAATACATAAAATTTGAAAATCTTACATAGATTTACTGGGGCACTTAAAACTGAAAAATATGTTTAAGAAAATACAGAAATATACACAGAATTAAATTGAAAATCAATTTGTAGTGCAATTCGTAGCCCAAATTGAGTTAATAACATTAATACTTGAAATAATTATCATTGGTAATAGTTTGCACCCTAAAAGTTTGCATAGAAGTTTTGGTATAGCCCCACATCAAATGAAATAATAAAAATCCTGAAAAAATATTTTCAGTGCCATCATGTCAAGAAAAAACCTCAGTGGAGTCCCTTTCACTGACCAATGTTAATTTTAAAACACATCTTTATAAGTCTTTATAATTATTGTTTAATGTATTCAAGAAGATGGAATTAACTAGTTAATATTGCTTGTTTTCAGAGTTATTTAATACTTCTTGCCACAAAACATTTTATTTGTTATTGTTTAATGAGAAATAGAACATAAATATATCCACATATTTGTACAGGTACATGATAACAGATGAAAGAGAAGGCCCCCTTGCAAGTATGGATGTGAAAGACTTTATCCTGACAGTTGGATCAAGGTCACCATCACCTGGTGGTGGATCAGTGTCAGCACTGGCTGCTTCACTGGTAGGTTCACAACTTTCTAGTATTTTCCTCTTGGTTTTGAACTATTTCTTCATGTCATGCTATCATTCTAATTTGCTCATTTTAAGGAGCAGCCTTTAATTTGTGTGTGTATTTGCGTTTATTTATACTCGCCACTGGTTGCCCATATGGGCGAGTCCTCCAGAAGAGTATTAGTCATTTTAGATTTTTTGGAGGATAGTGCAATTACAGATACAGAAAGATGCCCCAATGCCAGAAGCTTCTCCTGGTTCTTTAGCGTGCCAACTGTTAAAGCACCCATACACGGGACCTCGATTTAAAGTCTCATCCGAAAGACTGATTAGTAATTTTAGTTGGCCAGCCCCGGAATCGAACCCACAATGTTGAGATTACAAGTCTCGCGCTCTAACCGATTGAGCTATGTGGGCTGGCTTTAAATCAATTATTACATTTTTAGCTCGACTATTCGAAGAATATGAGAGCTATTGTAGTCGCCCCGGCGTCGGCGTCAGCGTCCGCGTCGGCGTCTGCGTTGGTTAAAGTTTTTTGTAAAGTCAAATATCTCAATTATTACTTGAGATATTCAATTGAAACTTACAATACTTATTTATAGTAACAAGGTTCATCAGATTGACAAGTAGGATAACTCTGCCTACAATATTGACAGAATTATGCCCCTTTTTAACTTAGAAATTTTGGTTAAAGTTTTTTGTAAAGTCAAAGATCTCAATTATTGCTTGAGATATTCAATTGAAACTTACAATACTTATTTATAGTAACAATGTACATCAGATTGACAAGTTGGATAACTCTGCCTACCATATTGACAGAATTATGCCCCTTTGGAACTTAGAAATTTTGGTTAAAGTTTTTTTGTAAAGTCAAATATCTCAATTATTGCTTGAGATATTCAATTGAAATTTAAAATACTTATTTATAGTAACAATGATCATCAGTTTGCAAAATTGCATAACTCTGTCTGCAATATTTGCAGAATTATTTGCCCCTTTGAAACTTAGAAATTTTGGTTAAAGGTCTTCAAAGATATTTACTCGAAACTTTACACATGCACTTAGGGTCATAATTGGAGGGTCATAATTGTATGTCACTGACCAAGTTCCATAACTCTATCTTGCATTAAGGCTGATTCACATCCCCTTTTCTACTTAGTCTCTTGGTTAATGTTTACATGCAAGTTTTACATATCTCAATAACTATTAAAGATATTTATTTAAAACTTCACATATGCATTTATGGTCATAATTGTAGGTCACTGACAAAGATCCATAATTCTATCTTGCATTTAGGCTGATTTTTCTCCCCTTTTTCAACTTAGAAATTCATGGTAAAGTTTTGCTTGTAAGCTGTTATCTCAATAACTACTGAAGGGCCTTTTTTGGGACAATTTTATGCATTCATAATAATAAAGCAGTGATTTACTCGATAAAACATCTTAATAACAAGCTTTTGTACCTTTTCTGTCAAATTTATGTATTCATAGGTAATTAGTATTATTATACTCAATAAAAAACCCTTGTGACATTACCTTCCGAATAGTCAAGCCAATTCTGTATAATTAGACTCTCTCTAAGGCCTATAACATGAATTTATAAAAAAAAATTAGCCCTTTTGTGAACTTAAAAAATTTAACATTATCAAGGCTCTTTCACTTAGAATAGTCGAGCATGCTGTCCTACTGACAGCTCTTGTATATGTTATAGAAATGGAGCAGCCCTTGTTTCAATCATTTTAATTTGCCTTATTTGTAATAAAGGGAGCAATTAGTGGATAAATTATTACAATTTGTTAATTTTAGGGAGCTGCCCTCATGCACTCTCTTTAAGATTACTTGTTTGTTGTAGGGAGCAGCCATTATATTAATTATTTTTATTATTTCTATATTTTAGGGAGCAGCCCTTGGATCAATGGTTGGGTTTTTGACATACGGTAACAAGAAGTTTTACGAGTTGGATGGTCAGATAAGAAAGTTAATCCCACCACTTTATAAGGCAATGAAAGACCTGACACCATTCATAGATGCTGATGCCCTGGCATTTAGTGAATATATGGTAGGTGGACATATGCAAAGTAATTGATTTACACAAAAAAACGTGTTGCAGCACCACACTAAATACCATATTCTGGTATATATAACAGGGGCTGGAATGATCAAATGCTGAAATCGCGCCTTTTCACCTGCCGAAATGCACTTTAAAATGTCTAATTCATCTCTCCACACTGATTTATATATGATAACAACAATAAATAGTATGAGAGAAACACACGACAACTCCGGAACAAGTTTAAAATTTTATTTAAAACCTACTAGTTTGGGGTATTCACTACCCTTTTTGTGCCCCCACGTTAGTGGCGGGCATTTAGATTTACCCTTGTCCGTCCGTCTGTCCGTCCGAGCAGACGAGAGCTACATTATGAGGTTTAGGTTTATGTACAGGCACTCTGTATGGGGTTCATTCCGTAGAGACATGTATTATGTGGTTAAAAATGCTCTTATGGGGTTAAAAAAATTTGCTCTTGTGGGGTTAAGAGATCAAAGGAATAACCCCACAAACACGTCTGCTAAGTATGTCTGTCCGTCCGTCCGTCCGTTCACTTTTGTGTCGCACATAACTCAAAAAGTATTTGACCTAGAGTCATGAAACTTTACAGGAATGTTGATCAGCATATGTAGTTGTGCACCTGGGTATTTTCGTCTGGATATTTTTAGTATTTTCAGAGTAATTGCCCTTGACTTAGTAAAATTTTGCAATTTTCAACTTGTGTCGCATGTAACTCAAAAAGTATTTGACCTAGAGTCATGAAACTTTACAGGAATGTTGATCAGCATGTGTTGTTGTGCATCTGGGTATTTTCGTGTGGATATTTTTAGTATTTTCAGAGTTATTGCCCTTGACTTAGTAAAATTTTGCAATTTTCAACTTGTGTCGCATGTAACTCAAAAAGTATTTGACCTAGAGTCATGAAACTTTACAGGAATGTTGATCAGCATGTGTAGTTGTGCACCTGGGTATTTTCGTGTGGATATTTTTAGTATTTTCAGAGTTATTGCCCTTGACTTAGTAAAATTTTGCAATTTTCAACTTGTGTCGCACGTAACTCAAAAAGTATTTAACCTAGAGTCATGAAACTTAACAGGAATGTTGATCAGCATGTGTAGTTGTGCACCTGGGTATTTTTGAATGGATATTTTTAGTATTTTTAGAGTTATTGCCCTTGACTTAGTAAAATTTTGCAATTTTCAACATGTGTCGCCGTAACTCAAAAAAGTATTTGACCTAGAGTCATTTAACTTTACAGGAATATTGATCAGCATGTGCAGTTGTGCACCAGGTATTTTCGTCTGGATTTATTTAGTATTTTTAGAGTTATTGCCCTTGACTTAGAAAATTTTTGCAATTTTCAACTTGTGTCGCAAGTTACTCAAAAAGGATTTGACATAGTCATTAAACCTTATGGGCAGGTTGCTCAGCATATTTAGATTTGCACCTGGGGTTTCGCTTGTGGATTTATCCAGTATTTGTAGAGTTATTTCCCTTGACTTAGTAAAAAGATTGACAGAACAGTGGCGCGGTGGGGGCACCCGTGTCCTATGGACACATTTCTAGTTCAAGTTAATTTATATATGATAATGAATGAAAAATGTAAGAATTATTGTAATCGTTCTATTCAGTTGTTTAATACCTTTATTATGTAATTGTTTGAAATATACATTGTAAGATTGATAAAGGACCTGATCACACATTTATTTGTCATTTTTTGAAACATTTCTATGTTATATGAATAATTTATTGTTTTATTAACACATTTATTGTTTCATTTAAACATTTGTGATTTTATGAGAAACTAGCAATGAGAAAAATTAATCTCAGTTCAATGAACAGTAAGACTAATTCATGTAAGTTGCTGTGTGAAAACGTGTTTTCAAATGATAGAAGAAAGTTTAACTTAAAAGAAATAATTTTTGCGCAATCAAATATGTGCGAATGATTTAAAATCTCAAATATGTCGCAAAATTAACCACATATGCCTGGTTTGTGAGTAGTTAAAACAAATTTTGCTTATTTACTTATCTTATGACTATTTTCTACAGCTTGCATTAAAATTACCAGCGGAGACTGAGGAAGAACAAGATATGTAAGTTGAAACAATATTAAAGTTAATTTCTAATTAATCCCAGTGAGCACAAGGGGTGATAATAAAAGAAAACCTGTATGTCTGTACTATTTGACCAGATTGTAGACTGTTGGATGTTCGCCTGCTTAGCGTAATAGGGACAGCAACAAATTGGTCGCTGGTTTGTCTATCACTGCTGATGTAAAAATCATGTAGGATTAGAAAAAGGTAATTACTGGTTACTTATCCAAGATCACATTGTTGGATCGACAGTCGAGATATTAACAAAAATGTGTTAAAAGCAGTGTTAAGGAAAAAAAAAAGACACCAATTAACAAACTAGACTGTTGTGAACACAATTTTTGTATTTTGATACTGAATCCCACATTGCTGTTGGATTGTTTCAAATTGAAAACGATGTTAGGCCGTTATTTAAATTGGGCAGGGTTAGGGTAAGTACACTGAGCCTCCATTGATAAGATTTTAATACATAATTCTAACTGTCAATTGAAGAATGTATCCCATGATCTAAAATAAGTTATAGTAGGTCGATGATCTTTCCTTAGACATACCTTCTCTGAGAAATAATGTAAAAATTAAAGCTGATATTCTTTGTGCATTTCGTGCATGTAAAGGTTTCAAATGTTAAAGTTTTAATATTTATTGTGTTTAAATAGTTATTGTTAGCGAATGAGGAATAAATGATGATAGAAATTGTTTGAAAGTAATTTGTATTTGATAAAATAACACTGTTAATATATATTTGACAGACGTTCTGCAGCAATGCAAGATGGCCTGTGTACAGCTATACAGGTACCACTGACTGTATCAAGACTAACTAATGGATTATGGGAACCATTGAAGGAACTTGCCAAGATAGGAAACATCAACTGTAAATCTGATTTACAGGTAAATATTGCTGTCTTGAACTTTGGTTGATCCTTTTGGCAAGGCTTAATTTCTCCTAGACAACTCATCTCAGACATTGAGTCTATATGGTCATTTGCCTATACCCTCTTAGAACATTGTTGAATGCTGCTGTTGTTACAGAAGAGGGAGGGGGTGACATAAATTGTTTCATCAAACGCATTTTTTAAAGTTCTACTATACTTAGCTATGAGGCTGGTTTCCGTTATTTATTTGACAGTTTTTACGATTGAAATGGCATCTACAGTTTGATTGTTAACCAAATAATTTCATTGTAAATGTTTAGAGAAACATCCTTTGGATTGAGAGAATCTTCTTACTCACCCTACTTTTTTCTTGCTGACCCAAATTTTCACTCGCAAATGCAAGTGGGCAACTTGATTTATTGAGGCTTCTCTCTGCTCTAGAAATCATGTGGAATTAGTAGTCAGTCACTTTGGTGAAATTGGTAATTATTGGTTGGTGATCAATAATCAAGGAAATCTGGTAAGGTTGAAAGACAGACTGCTGCCATACACTCAAAAAGTGTGTTATAATTAGTGTATGACAAACAAAAACCAAAGTGTTTTTGGCCGGTGAATTTTTGACAACTTACTTGTTTGTGGATGAGTGGTTAAGACCATTTAACTCTCACTACTCAGGGTCAGAATTCCACCAGGTTCTTAGGATTTTTTCATGTGAGGGCTATCCTGCTATCTTATGGTATGTTGGTGGTTCTACTCAGGTTCCCTTTTGTGCCTAAAATTATACATGGAGAGACACCTGAGGTATTCCCCCACCATACTGGAAAGCTGTCATTTGACTTTTACTGTGTTGGTGCAGCATAAAACCAGACAAATTGTTATTTTAGGTTGGTGTAAGAATGCTGGAGACAGGAGTTTGGGGAGCCTATTATAATGTGAAAACTAACCTTGGTGATGTCACAAATGAAGATTTCAAGAAGAAGGTAAAATTATGCATGCTTTTTACTGAATTGAAATTTTGAAAATTATTGGCACCTATTAATTATGGCAGTAGTTTGTGAAAAATTTAGATAATAAATTCCTTACATTCCAATCTCAAATCAGGGCAAGTCTAGTTGAACAAAACTTTATGTACAAGTTTGTTGTAAAAGTGCATATATTTATTATATAAAGTCAAGTCTAAATGTTTTCTTAAGCTTTTTTAATTGAACATCCCATATCTCTGCCTGCTTAGCTCAAACCACTTGCCTCTCACTACTGTAGGTTCAAATCCCACAATGGCCTTTGGATACATTTATGTGAAGAAGCCATTCAGCTAGCTTGGGGAACGTTGGTGGTTTTACTTGGGTGCCCGCTCATGCCTTTAATAATGCACCAGTAAAGCTGGAAAAAAACCACAGTACTGCAGTTATGTTGGTGTGACATAAACACACAAAAAAACACACAAAAAAAACAACAACAACAACAAAAAAAACCAACAACAACCCCCCAAATATATGATCTTGGACTGAGTATAATGTTCATTTGTCTTTTACTGCTGATTCAGAAATCATATGGAATAAGTAGTTGATCACTTGTGGAATGGGTTAGATTTACTGGTCAGTTATCCACTAAAACGAATTATGTGGACCAACCAGCCATAAATGAACAAAAAACAAATGATCCTCACATGCATGTAATACAATAATTTTACTTTTAGGTATCAGAAGAAATAGAAGGGGCTGTCAAGATTGCACAAGAAAATTGTGCAGCAATTCTGAAGATTTTGGAGGAAAGGAAAGCCTAAGATCTAGTCAGACTTACACTCTATGTGCTATGCTTAAGTAATCTTGCATGATTATTATCTCCACCATATGTTATTTCATGTTATTATTGGATGTTATTTCATAGCAAGATTGAAAAACATGTTTATATGATAAATAATTCATTTGGTGAAGAAATTAGTTTATTAATTAAAAAAACTTGATAACATTGTTAATTGCTTTTGAAAGAAATTACCATTTTCTTCCAATGGTTTTTATTTTATAAGTTTCTATTTGCCAGATAAATATTTTAGAATTATAGGAATATGTTGGGGAAAAAAACAAGGTATGAATGCTTATAGTTTGACTAAAGTGAATATTTTTCTTAATGGGGGAAAATAGACAAGTTGAGATTGAAAAGATTTATTTAATACACAGGTATGATAAGAAAATATCCCAGAATTTAATAAAACAATTTCATATACCAAAGATGTGATAGACAAGTTTAGGGTACTTTATGCTTCAAACATTTAAAGCTTTTAAATGTGACACAAAGTTTTTTTTGATTAGCATAATCTAGTTATAAAATTGAAGGACAAAATGTGAGTATACTTCTAAGTCTAATTATTAAAAAAATCCAGGGTCTCACTGCCCTTCCTGGCATGGAGGTTACGGATCCTTCCTCCACCTCACCCCTCTAAAATCTGATTTAAGTAATCTTTGAACTTGATTTAATTCTGCAAAACAAAATTTATTGGTTTACTAATATAGAAGATTTCAGTTTTCTAAATTATCAGGGGTAAAGGGTTATACATGACATAATCAATTTATAGAACTTTCAAACTGCTTGAACCATGTTGTATTGTGAGAAAAAAAGTTATCTGTGAATATGATGACATGAATATATGAAAGATTTGAAATTGTGATGTGAATTATATTGCAAAAACTATTATATTATGATGTAAAATTACTGTAATATTGTTTTGTGATAATACAGTAACATGAGAAAATGAACAATTATGATTGTTTACTGAATGCATACATTATGATAACAGAATGTTAATGAAGATACAATGATTTGATATATGTAACAATTTGATGTTTTTACTATATACATTAACATAATGTGAAAATACAAAGACATGTGAAATGAAACAATCGGATATTGTTACTATATGAGTGCATCATGATATTGTAATGTGAAAATATAAGTCTTATATTTGGTATGTGAAAATATAAGTTTTTATTTGGTATGTGAAAATAAAATGATTGTGTTATGTTGAAACATATAGATGAGATGGAAATGAGAACAATGTGTTCATGTTTTGCAATGATACATTTTTTTTATCAAGCTCATTCTTACATTTTTGCCTAAATATTTTCTTAATAAGAAAAACACAAACTTCATTTAATTATTGAATAATAATTTATTCAAAAAATAAGGCCTAAGTATATGTTTATTTCAAGAGCTCTCATTACTTGATGGTAGATTGTTTTGAATGTTGGGATCATTGTGATTGGAGAGTGTTTTTGAACTGTTAAAATAAATTCATGGAATTTAAAGCACTGATATCAAAAACATTTTATATTTTCATTGTCAAGTTGACACAAAACCACTGTGCACCACATTTAGCAGATTGTTTTTACACTAACTTTTTCACAGGTCACTCATTTTGTGGTTTTTAATAAAAACTATGGAGCCCCCGAGATGATTTTTTTTCTTTTTTTGTTTTAACGTATTAATCTTTTTAATTTTAAATATAAAGTACATGTGTAGATGTCCTTAAATAGATAGAGTGTATAATTTAAGAAGCTCTGTGAAAAACCATTACATGGTAGATTTTTATTGCAATGTCTCAAATGTTTTATTAGTGAAGCAACATGCTTTTGTGTCGATTAATACAATATGAAACTACAGTCGAGACTGCCTTAGCGACCCCCTGATTTAAACGACTCCCTGTCTTATCCGACCTTGTTTCAGTACTCCCAACGTATTTTCCTATATAAATGGTCTGAATTAAACGACTCCCTGTCATATGTGACAAGCGACCCTAATTGTCTGGTCCCAATTCAATGTTTGGTCTGATTTAAACGACTTTCACACCTTTTAATTGTCCGTTAAATCAGATAAATAATACCTATTATAACACCCAGAGGGCCAAAATAATTAAGTCCAATTATAATCCAGAAGCAAACAAAGTCTACACACCTCTATCTCAATTACACAGTTGACATGTATAAATGCAGGTATCAAGTGACGTAGCGTCTGTTTATGGGAAGCATGACGCAATCGATGTGTGTGTAATGTACATTATGGCCTGAGTAAACTGGATAAGACTTGTGTTAGATTTTTTTTTTTAATTATAGAGTGCCCACGGAAGATTTTTTAGGCAGCATATTTTTTTATTTACCTTTCTATGACTGCATAATAAATACGGAAAAAATATTGATACTAAACCAGAAAAAGCTTTGGATATGGATATGTTGAAAGATCCTGTAACACAATTTTTCATGGTTTTATTTCATAAAGATGATGCTGAAATTAAGATTTGTCAATATTGTAAGTTCAAATAAGCATTATTTATAAAGATATCACCCAATTTAACATTTAATATAAATAAAGGCCATTAAAGGGAGGTAATTAGAACTTTATTTTCTATAAATTCTAAGTTAAATTTTCCAATAAGTAATCAATGCATGTAATTTATTGATTAAATATAATGTGCAAAAATATTTTCAGTACACATTTTACATATTCTTTGATGTTTGAAAGTTGTTTTATTTGCAAAATTATATCCATATATATTTTTTTTGCAAGTGTGGTATACACTCTGTAACAATATCAATCACAAAACATACAGGATCTTTAAGTCACAATGGTATATAGACAGCTAGATTTAATTTTCTTTGAGACTGTATTTAGAGACTCCCTGTCATATGTGACCTTTTTCTGAAGATCCCTTGGAAAGTCACATATGACAGTCTCGACTGTATTGTGACATTTCAAAGTGAAATAAAGTTTAGATTTTGATTTATTCCTTCTAGTTGAAAGGTCTGTTAGTTAATTGATAATTTTCAAATTGCATTGTGTTTAACACAAACTTTAATAAAAGTACTTTTATAAAAAGTTTTTTATTGTTAACAGTTTTATCTGTCGTCATTTAATAAGATATAGATGATTTTAACGATACACAATAGCTTGGAAGATCATTGGTTCAGAAAACTGTTTACATATTAGATTGAATTGTGTTCTGCTTATATGGAAGCATTTATTTGGCAAAGGGTTTTATTGCTTGCCTTTTAGTTTTGGTACCAGTCTGGCTTTTAAACTTTTGATTGGTTGATTTTGAATTCAAAATGAGTGAAATTGACCAGTTACAAGTCTGCTTTTTTTGGGAGACTGGTACCCTAATATTGTTTCTTTTGTAGTGTTAGTTTAAGTTTTTTTAAAGCTTATTTTAAGTGTGCAAAGAAGAATTTAAAGATACTTTTTATTATTGTGATGTTTTAGATTTTGTTTAATGTTTTTTTTACATTTGAAAGCTGTTTATTTGAAAACTGGTGATTTGCATTTTGTTTGCATTTTATGTAAAGCTAATTTTAGATGATTATTATATTACAATTGTTTCACACTGTATTTAAACATTTATTTGAGCCGCGTCATGACAAACCAACATAATGGGTTTGCGACAAGCATGGATCCAGACCAGCCTGGGCATCCGCGCAGTCTGATCAGGATCCATGCTGTTCGCTTACAAACCCTATTACAAGTAGAGAAACAGATAGCTAACAGCATGGATCCTGATCAGACTGCGCAGATGCGCAGGCTGGTCTGGACCCATGCTGGTCGCAAGCCCATTATGTTTGTTTTGTTGTGGAGCGGCAAATTTATTCTTGTATTCAGTTATGGTGGTTGTTTAAGGTTAATTAGAAGTTAATTTGTTCAATTTAGAATTAATCAGATTTTTATGAGCATTAACAGTGTAACAATGCATTTTATATATTCAAATGATAAGGATTGACTCAACGTTTTGGTGAAGGGTAATGTTTTTTAAATCATTCAAATATAACCTTTCCTTCTCCACCATTGATCTCATTTTATTTCAGAAATCCATAACGTAATACACAAAATAGGATTTTTTAACAGTTTTAATTATTTGGTATAAAGGGTTAAATATGACAGGGTCTTTTAAGAATTTAGAGTTTCCTTCAATGGAGAAGTTTCTTGGTTTAAAAAGATTACATTGGAGGAATATTTTATGTATGCCCAGTTGCAGTATAATTATAGCACACACTATTTATGTATTATCTGATATAACTTACATTTTAAGCTAAACTGTATCTGTATAAAGTGCTGCAATGTACCTTTTCATGTGAAAACTTCTTAGCCAATATTTTCTATTTTAAATCATGCATTTACCAAAAATTGAGTTGTATGACAGTGAAAATTTTATACAGATAAGTCATTGATGTATTTTTTCAATGTGAGGCAGCTCAATTTTAAATGTAGTCTGTAATAGATATATAAAATACTATGAGCACTACAGTATTATCAACGTATGAGATTACATGTAACTGATGCACAAACTTCTTATACTAGCACACAATATTTTTTATAACAGTAAAGTATTAGAATTTTCAGGTTACAGGGCATATTCAATAATTTTGTATACAAATTTTCGAGGAAGTTACCGCCTGATTTACATGTTTATCTTAAATCACCATTTTTTGATATATGAACAACATCAGAATCAGACTAATGTATTATATGCAATCTGTCTAATGGTTTAATAAATACAGATATCAATTTGTATCAGCCTACAGTATAAAGCATAATGATTTTTTTTCCTGGAATGGATTATAGTCTTTTTTTGTGGAAGCAGAGCATTGTCTGACAATACCTTGTTGCTTGAGATACAAATGTATAAAGAATATTTGGTAATGTTGTAATGTTTCATAGATTTAAGTTTTTAAACTGTCGGTGTTGTTAGGCATAAGAAAATATGTATTTTGTATATTTCTTTCAAGGGCATTCATCTTAATATTACCACTTAATTTATCAAATAGTTTGTTTCACAAAAAGGCCAAGACAAATGTTTGTTTCTGAGTCCTTTGCAAATTATTTTACCCCTTTAAAAATTTCTCGCTTCAAGATGTCTTAACAGTTTTAAAAAGTTAAACTTAATTCCTAAAATTTGTTCAGCCTTTCCAGTGTGGCAGCTGAGACTGAAAGGAAGACTGTTTCCAATGTGGTGACCTTTAACCTGCCATCCAGAAAATTTGTCTAAGGGAAACAACTCAAAATTTAATTGTAAAACCTATTTGTGACAGTTACCTCCCTTATTTTAAGATATATAGGTATTTAAAATCCAACTGTCATCTTTGTTTGTCTTTTTTGTTCTCCAAAATAAGACAATGTTTTATAATTATCACCACAATTATTTCTACATGTTACTTAATTGATAAATACATGTATATTATGGCCTATCTCTGGATATTTAGACATGTTCTTCGTTACACTAGTGGATTGTAAGTGAATAATACTTGGTTAAATGATTTAAATTTTCATGCAAATCAATATGAATATCGAGGCATACTGTTGTCAGATCTGCTGTAAA